TAAAAATCTAAAAAAAAAAAAAAAAGTTTTAAATTATAAATTAAAAATGTGTAATAGTTTTTTGAATTTTTGTATTTAACAGGTCTTAGAATTATGCTCGTGTTAACTTAGTCCCTAAATTTTCAATTTTGTACTTAATGATCCTTGAATTTTTCACATTTATTATACATGAAGTTAAAAGTTCAAAAATTTTATTAGACAAATTTAAAGTGTAGGATCATTGTTTTAAAAATGTTGAATAGGTCATAGACCAATTATACACAAAACCGAAAAGTTTGTAGACCTATTAAACACTGTAAAACCATGTTTACTTAGCACGAATCATAATGAGCATGAATTGGAATGAAAATCAATCGGAATATAAATGTTATTTCTGTTTTTTACCATAACTTTGTTGGAATTGAAATAAGAATTCATTTGATGTTTTTACTAAAATTGTCTTGAATCGAAATTAGAATCAGATATATAAAAATTATTAGTATACTTTTATCTTTTTTCAAACTAATTACAAATACATGGGTGTGTTAATCTCTTTTTAATTACAATAATAATTAATTTTATTATTATATTATTGAAAGTTTATGAACAACGAATTAGATTATCCAACTTGAACTTAACTAAATGGTAATTGACACCTGTCTCGTGACCAAAAGGTCATGAATTGGAATCGCACACCTCAGTTATTTACCAAAAAAATAAATACATTATATTAAACATCAAATTTAACTAAAATAATAACAATAAAATTCAAATTCATATGTATTTTTTCCTTTTCATCTTACACTAAATTTAATTTTCATCGCTGCCAAAACGAACATAGTTCAGTAGTAATTGACATATTTTCCAATCAAGAGATTGTGAGTTCGATCACTCCGATATGTTTTACTCAACAAAAACAAATTTCAATTTTCATCCATTTGTTGGGGGGAAGCATCTGGACAAATAATATTCTACTCACATAATTTTATCAATAAAAAAATAAATTTTCATTCTAATTGTTCTCTCCATTTATTTTTATTTATTATTTCATTTTTTTAAACTTGGGACTGAATAAATAAATAGTTTAGTATGGCTACCATACATCCGTATGTCAATTGGGTCTACAAAGAAACCGACCTGATGGAACATAACCACGTTAAAAATTTAATCATTCCTCTATATATATATATTTATATATATATTAAATGACAAATAAATTATTAATATAAAAATTTGTTAGACAGATTATTGAAATGTCTAATTATTCTAATATAACCATTTGATTTTTTTAAAATAATATTTGTCAACTATTTGTTTAATTATTTTGTTCATTAAAGTAATTTATATTTAATGATTAAAATTGCCTCAAAATGTCCTTCAAAGTTTGAAAATAAAAAATCAAATTATATGATGATTGACATTATAACCATTGTAATTTTTTTTTTTTTTGGTAGAATAATTTTTGTCAACCATTTTGTGTTTACTTTTTTTTCCTTCGCTCTTAAAGTTGTCTAAAACTTTTTTAATTTTATTTTAGTCCTTTCAATTTAATTTCACGCCATAATTAACAAATTATTTAATGAAATAGTAACAACTAATTATACATTTCTTTCGGACATTTGAATTTCGAGTACTTAAACTTCTAAAAATATAAAACATAAACACAAAGTTAAAATATTAAATATAAAATAAGATTTAACGTTACTCTTTTCAATCTTTAAAACAATATATATTTTTTAATTTATATATAAGTGATGCAGGTATGTATTCTCATTTTCATGTTATAAACTATTAATTATATCTAGACCATATCATTTTTTTTCAATTCTCAATTTAATTTTTTAAGAATTAGTTCCAGAGACTAAAATATAGATTTTTTAACTTTATAATATCAAATTAAAATCTCCTTTTAATTACATTAAAATTAACAGACGGGTACGAAAAATGTCAAAATATACTTGGTGATAAATAATAATGACTCAGCCTAACAAAGTTTGGTTGAATTAAAGTTAATTACTTTTTTTTCCCTCCTTTTTTGAAGTCAAAATAAAAGGATTAAAAAGAAAAACAAAAAAAAAAGCATAAGAAAATACCATGGGAACGTATTTCTGGTTGTTTATTCTTTTTATAAGAACTCTCTTCTATAAGTCATCCATGGACTTCTCAGGCTATCTTATGTTTATTTCTCTGCCAATAAAATACTTTGGGAAAAGAAAAATCAAAATTAGGTAACCACCCTAACATTTTATATTTAGTATTCTATGTTAGTTTAATGAGAATTCTTTTGTGTTTTTTTTTTATTTTACTTGAACTAAATAATAATATTATTATTATTATTAAAAGAAACGTCTAGAAGCAATCACTAATTGTTTTCTATTTAGAATCGTGGAAAATGATGAGTAGTGTGAAAGACTCAATCGTATTTATACATATAATCCAAGAATATTGGGAGGGTAAAAAAGGAATTCCATTATTTTTAAACCAATGATTTTAGTAGTAACGCTTAAATCTCATTTAAGCCACGTTTACTCACCCGCAATCGTAATCAATCACACCAAATTGTAGGTGTTGATGCGTGAATTATGCTCTTCCGGTTCCGTTCAAAATTCGCATCAAACCTGATAAGAAGGGGACAAAGAACCTGCAAAACCAATCAAGCCTAAACCGGTGTAATTCCGGTCACACGGGCTCCGATACCTAAGTTAGCAAGGAGAGTTGAAGGATCTAGAATTTGAGTCTCAAGAGTCGGATCCCTTACCTTTAGGGTTACGTCCATCTTGTAGCAGTCTCATGTGAATCATCGTCGAAACGGGAGGTATCGCAAAACGGTCGGGTGAGCCGTTACAGTTCTCGGCCCGCCGAGAACTGCTCGACCCCGAGGCGTCTAGTCTGCCTCGAGGCGCTTGGTCGACTGAGGTCGACGTTTTCCGACGCTCACTTGGCCCGTGCGTTTCTTTTCCGGTCTAATCATTGTTTTTGTTCCCTATCATAGTAGGAATGTAATCATAAACTTTCAAGTTTATTGAAGTTTTTTCTATTTTGGTTATTCAATTTTAGAATGTGTATTTAAATTCGCAAACTTTAGGAAAAAAAATTGTTTTAGTCTTTACCATTATTCTCTCACATAATACCCACCTCAGCAAGTCGGCTCGCACACATATTCACACTAACATGTTAATACAAACTTGCAATATATATCTACTAAAGATGATAGAAAATATTATGTAAAAAGAAATGGATTTCAAAATGATTAATTAAATATTAAAATTATGAGCTAAAATAGTCCTTTTAACAATAAAAATTTGAATATAAACTTAGAAATCTAATAAATATTTCAAAACTTTATACAAAATGAAATTTAAACTGAGTAATAAATACGAGTGGTTCATTTTTTTACACCTTTACATTACAAATGAAACGAAAAGATTATTTAAACCTATTACGCATAAAAGTTAGACTCATCAACATAACTATATTTAGAACATAATACATATAGTTATTTTATGCTMTATATATATATATTAGTTAAATTAGGTTAAAGATTAGTTTTTTTCGATATTTTAATTTTTCTTTCAAATAATAGTTAAAAAGTTATATAGCGAGACCAATTTGTTTCTTTGAAAAAAAATCAAATGAGTTGTGTTGACGGTAAATTTTGAAGAGATCCGAGTGTCCTACACGAGCATAGATTAGAGAAGAGCAAATGAGCCTGCAACCAGAAAATTCGATACCAATGTGGTGTCTGCCTAATACACTATGACGATCAAGTCAGTAATCGAAGTAAGAAAATAGGAGTAGACACCTTGAAAGTTTGGTGACATGTTTTTCATTTACTTTGTARTGATGAGGTCCTTCCCTTTTATAGGTGTGTATGGCCGACCAAGAAGGACGGAGGTTAGAGGTGCAAGGGCATGTCGGGCTATACGGAATTCTGATGGAGGGGGGTAGACGTCTTCAACAATCAATAGATGGCGCCTGCGCCTGTCGATTTGTTCTTGTGCAGCTGCAGATCGCAAGCTATATCCCTTGACGTCCTACTTGTACTACTCTGGTGGTGATACACTCGTACACATACACAACGAACGTTACTAATAGTCTGTGGTTCTACGCCTTGTTGTCATCTCTAACGTTCGATATGTACTCTTTCGAATTTTTCCCTCAACAAGTTATACTAAAAAAAGGAATAAAAAAATAAAATCCAAAGTAGGGAAAATGTGAAGAGAAGAGAGCGGTGTGGACACGACTTGCTATGGAGGCTGACAAGACCTTTCCTTTCACCAAATTCAAACATTTAAAAAAAATAAAAATAAAAATTCTTTTAAAGGTACGAAATGGCCTTCCGTTCCAAGTTCAACAACCAAAGAGTCAAACTTTGGCTTTACAACATTTTTTTTTCCTTTTCCTTTTTTATTTGTTGAATTTTAAAGAGTTAAACTTAATGAAAATATTTTATTTTTCCCTAAAAGCACATTATCAAACACTTCTCAACTTTTTGTTTGGAAATGTGAAACATAATACTATTAATTATTAACTATTAAAAGCCAAGTATGCAATAAAAATAAAAAATAAAGTAAGAAATATTTCTAATCATCGAGATGTGTTATATATAAAATCTATAACCACGGAGGAAAATATGAAGTCTAATTTTTCTGAACTATCTTACTTATGCAATAAAATGGACCTACATGAAAAAAGAATCCTCGTAAAACTAATTTAATGGAAAGAAACAAGTTATATAAACAAGTTATATTAAGTTCGTTCGACAACATTCTCATTTCTTATTTTTATTTTAGAATTTCGATATTACGCTGTTACTTATGTTTTTGTTTCTCAATTTTTTGTAGAAACATTGTCGAGATTGTATAACAACACAAACAAAATTTTGTTTCTTATTCTTGTTTCTAATTTGTTTCAAAATATAAATAAAAATATTGTTTTCAGGCTCTTCTATGAGTGTTAGAAGTCATGCAATTTTATATTTCTATATTAAAAAGAGGAAATAGAAACAAGAAAGAGTAACATTACCAAACAAACTCTTCTTGTTTAACTTTTTTACTGTTTGTCTAGTAGACATTCTCTTTAACATCGTCATTCTAGTAAATTTTGATTGAATAATATTTGGTTACTTACCGACTATCACATATTTTTTATTGATCAATATCAAATTTTTGACAAATAAGAGAGAAAGGTAGAAAATAAGATATTTTTTCTATTTCTAAAAAATGTAAATAACTATCGAATTTTTTGCTAGAATGAGTAAGAAGATAGGCACATTTCGACATTTCTAACAAAATACTCCAAAATTCCACCTCTTCATTTGAAACCAAGATGCTACAATTGTTTGAAACCTTATAAAAGACTCCATTTTAGTACACATTTTTTAGATTTTCTTTTGAGAGAGAGAAAAAAAAAGGTTATAACTTTTATGGGTCTTCGTCCAATTTGGAAGAAAGAGAAAATCCAAAGAGTTTTATTGAATTTATTATCTTTGTAGTATGCCTATTGGTTCTTGTAATCTTGTATTCAAATCTTTTTCAAACCAAAAAAAAATTAAATTGATTAATTAAATAAAAAGCAAGGATATAAGTATAATTTCCATGTTAGCGTGTTTCAACGGTCATATTTTTTGCTTTCGTTTCACATCTTAACTCATTCAATTTGAAAGCAAAATGGGGTCTCTCTCAAGTCTCATCCAACTCAATGTCAAACAAGTAGAGTTTCCAACATACAACAAAACACTTCACCTAATAATTTTACCAAAATGTATGAAATTTACTACTTTGGTCAACAACACGTGCTCGATAAAATATTGTTTCGTCAATTTATCGTTTGTTTAAAGATTTAGAATAGTATATAAACATCGATTATAGATGGATTATTTATTTTTAAGATAGGTAATGTATTAACCAGTTCAACTATATTTACATAGAATTAGGATATTTACCTTTAAATTTTTAGTCAAAGATTTTAATCAAATGATAATACGTAAATTTGATGTTAACATCTTAATAGACTTAATAATACATTAAGGTTGTTCTTGCCTACTTATTACTTGACCCTCTTTTTTTCTCTTTCGAATTTTTATTTTCATCATTGGGTGAGTTCACAATGTTTTTTATGACTTTCCTTTCTATTGATGAAGAGGTGACCTTGTGCTCTTCAAGAAATGAAGGCAAAGRCCCTCCGAACCCGAGTTTATTGGGGATCTTAGAGGGGCACCCAATCAACCCCACCACCCTCACCCTTTAGAGATAGGGCGCAACAACAAGTCTTAAAAAAAAGACGTGGGAGGCCTCAAACTCATCCGGAGTTGGAGAATGGAAAAAAAAAAAGAACACTCTATCAGTCTCATTAGAATTCATAGTTCGAACAACAAATTTCAATTAATTTATGGTCTTCATTACAAGTTCAAATTTCTCCATCTTGACTTTTCTCCAAAAAAAAAAAAAATCAAGTCAAGTCAAGTAAGCTGTGAGACAACAAAAAAGATGGTAGAGTTAACAGACACTTTGATTATCCTTTCTCATTGTCTACAAATTTAAGTATAAAAGAAATTGTAAAATTTTTAATACTGAAGTTAATATTTTTAATTAAATATTCGAAATTTTTATTTTATTTATTTTTAAAAATGTATTATGCATTTTATAAATAAAAAACGATAAAATAATGTTTTCATATATATTTTGAAAAGAAATTAGAAACAAGATACAGTGAGTAGAAAATTTTATTGTGTTGTTTCTAAAAATATTTACGTAATTTTAGAAACATTTCTTAAAAATGAAAAACAACAAAAATTCCATGCATGATAAACACAAATCCTGTCATCCTTGAGATCACTCAAGATGTGAAATAGAAAATAAACAATGTATATATTTTTATATGTATAACTTCAAAAAGAAAAACAAATACAAAAGCAAATCTTCCTACACTTTTCCAAGGACAGAAATGGCACCTATTATTTATCCCCCTGAACCTAAAAAATTAGGATAATACATAAATCTGTACATGAACCCTCTCTAATGCTTTTACAACACAATTTTGGTTAGGGTTTGGTAAGGCTCCAATTTTTGCCTCTCTACTTCAGGAGCAACAGATCTCAAACCCCACCATTTCTATGGTTAATCAACAAGTTGAAAATTAAATTAACAATTAGTAATCCTCAGAGCTGTAATACTAAATCAGGATGAGCAGAGTCTACCTTACTAGAGCTAGGAGGAGATCCTGGTGATTTGAATCTCACATTCAGGTCCGGGGGAATCAATTCGGGTTTATATAGTGTTGTTACAACTGCATCTGACTTTTCCTCTGGTGATGGCCCCTGCTGCCAAGCCGTTCGTGAACTGGGACCGATTGCAGCCTCATTCCCCGACCCGAGCAATGAACTGGAAGAGTTTGTTGTAATGGGATTGCTTTCTGGGTATTTGGGTTCTTTTGGATTTAGGCTGGTTGCTGTTGCTGGGAGGATGAAGTTAGCATTAGCCCTTGCGATCGTGTCAAGCATTTGAGAGGACTGAAGCTTTACACCGATGGGCTCGGACACTCCTGTTGGTTTCCCCCTGTGAGCAGAGAGATCAAAGCCATAAGCACCATTGAATCCATTCATACCAGGGCGGATTGTTGGACTCTGGTGTTTCTGAAATGAAGGTCTTGGAGAGATTGGAGAACTACTTTCCAATACATTATAATTGCTACTAGGATTCAATCCTTCAAACGCTTCTGCCTTTCCCCTGCAGGGTTCAGAAGATTGACGAGTACTCGAAGGTGATGACAAAGCTGCAGCAGACTCGCTCAGAGGCCTGGTTAGATGGCCATCTAAACCGGGGGCATGAGAGGGATCCTCATGCTTCTCCGATGAAGTATCTGCTTCAGAGTTGTTGGACAGTCGAACCCCCATTTGTTCAGGAGCTAGAGGCTTTGCATCTAGAGCAGAACTTTCATGCCCAAGAAAGGGCTGCGATATCGACATCTGACCGAGTTCCACTTGAGGTAGAAACACTCTCTTTGGTGTGGTATCATTCTCCACAACCCATCCAGGACCAAAACTTGAACCTGCTGGCAAAGATCTTTCTATCTTCTTAGAAGCAACTCTCCAAGCTACAGACCCAAGATCTGCACCGAATCGAGCGAGGCTTCGTGCATAAGCATGCTCCAAGAAAAGTCCAACCTGATTCATATTGCGAGCAAGTTATCCTCCCAAAAGTCCATATAGGTTCCTCAGATAAATCAAATCACCAAAACCATATAGCAGCATGCTTTAGGCATTCAAGGAAAAACAATTAATAGATCAGAAACTGAAAAGAAAACACGCCAATTCATTTTACCCTCAAATATGCTTCTATATTTTCTTTGACAACAAAAAAACTATAACACAGACACTACTGCTCCAACTTGGGAGTCCAAATGAAAAGATCTGATTCGAAACTTCAGACGATTATTGAACATATCCAGCATTCAATCTAGATAATCATTCCAATCATAGGACTTAAAAGAAAATGCAAGTTAGATATATACCGGCATTAAAGCCTTCCTCTCTCTATCAAATGTATTCAACACAGAGGGCTCTAGCAAAGCAGTTTCAGCTTGAAATTGTTTATAGGTGTTACGCCTATTCTCATCGGTGACAATCTGTTTTTTCCCCTGTCTCACTGAATTAAATCTTAGGGAAGAACCTGCAACGAAAGAATGATCTTCAAATCACCATTTAGTTTGTATCTCAGACTTAGTAGTACAATATAGGTGGATACAAAAAAAGATTTGCTAGCCTAAGATTTCATACCTGTAATATCATCGTTTCTATCGAATCTGCTTTGGTTAAACAAATTAAATGTCGCATCATTATTGCTAGAAATGGGGAATCTGCCAGAAAAATCAGCTAAACTAGACTTTTCCAAATGATAAAGTCCTTTCCTCAAATCGTTGGACCGATTTGTGTTTTCACCACCAGTAGCAAGAGTAGCATCTGGGGAAAACTCTGAACCAGCACGCTCCAAGGAAGGTCTACCCAATGGTTTTTTCATATTCTTGGTTGGTGGTCTGCCTCTTCTTACTACTTTAGGTTCTGGTTCATTATCATCACTATCTTGCCTCAAGTTCTTAAAATTCCTTTTTGCCAACTCCTGTATGGTACGTGCCTGACAAAAATATAATAACTTTAAGTATATGTGCAAAATAAGAAGTTTAACGACAATTAAGGAAGTTCGGTGCAAATCAAACCTGCCGAAAATATATAGTATCTGGGGCATTATATTGCATTGCATTTGAACTGATTAATAAAACGTCTTTCTGCAAGAAAAAAACATTATATCAATACTAATAAGCAAAGCTAGCATTCTTACAACTTCAGGAAAGCACTAGGTATGCTATTGGGCTAAAATTCAAAGTGTTCGAAGATGGGGGAAATCTATATCCAAGGTGACAACACAAGTCAGAATTTTGAAAGAAACAACCATTTACTTCAAAACAGATGATGCACATAAGACGCTATTAAGTAACATATACATCCCTATACAGTATAGCAACAGATAACTGAATACAAGATAACCCAAGAAAACAAACCACGGGAGAACAACAGACAGGTGAAAGCAGACTGCTGAAATCTTAAACTACACTTGTATTGATCTAAAACAGCAAATTGATATTATGATAACTTGTTGCTCATCAGAATAAACATTACTAAATTTCAAGCCAAGTTCTAGAACAAGGACTCCAATTTCCAGAACCAGTCTGTTCAGAATCAAGCATCCCTCTTCACTAATATAAACTGATCCATAGACCAACATAGTCAGATGGTAGATTTTGGGTACGAAAGAAAATATGATTTTTAAACCAAATAGACACAAAAGGAAAAGCAAAACTAACAAATCATGGAGAGAGCTCTATAATGAAGCCTACAACGCTTAAAACAATTCAGAATGTCAAGAAAATATCAAGTGAGTCACTACAGTTAAGAAATTCGCCAAGCAGCAATTCGATTATCATGGTAAAATACAAATTTGCAGAGAATCGAACATAAAGGCATCTAGAGTTCAGCCGAACAGGAAAGGGAAACAAACGATTTAAACAAAACAGAAAACAACAAAGGCTCATCGTACTTCAAACTGTTCCAAGTTGGCATAAGCTCCAGAAGCAAGCTTCTCCCGTACAGTCCCAAAATCCATCGGATGCTCTATAATTTCATGATAGTCCGGAAGCTACAAATAATAATTTTAAAAGCAAAATCAATGTAAAGATAGGACAAAGCATGTCATAAGACCCGAAAGCTGATGCGTCATCACTCCCAAAACCAACCTCGTTGGGGTCCACTGGTTCGGAAAACACACCATAGATATCCTTCCTGAATTAAAGCACTCCGAAATTAATATTAAATAAAAGGAACATCAAAGAGTAAAAAAAACACAGAAATAGGAGCTAAAAAAACACACTTTTGAAGCCTGTCGAGGATGAAGACTAAAAGCTTCTTATCTGGTAAAGGCGTCGAGGGTCCCGGATCCATATGCGCTCCTGCATGTAATTATGTCCATAATGATTAAAAACAGTCACAAACATAGGTTTCAAAGAAGTGGCGTGTGATTATTGACAAAAACCTTGAAGGGTTTCCGTGGGGTTTGTAGCAGAAATGAACTTTTCATCCTGCAACATCGAAAGAAAAAATAAACCAATGCCAACAGTTACACCCGGCAAATAATTTTCCATTATGGGTGAGCTCCAGAAACAGAGTAGGATCTAATAAAAAGTAAACAGGACAAGGAATCAGAGTGCCACGAAGGGAAAATGCAGCCATCAAGTGAGAAATAATTAAGGGAAGGAAAAGACAAATCCGAACTTTTTCGTTTAAAAAATGGTAGTCAAATCGGATCGTTTAAGGAAGATAAATACCCAGTAAATGCTAATAAAAATCCAAATAGTAAGCATTAAAATTAAATATGTTCGAGGAAAACAATTTCACAACTAAAATTCAGTGTTATCAATTTGAAATTAGCCAAGTCAACCGTCCTTGACTGCGATACTCGAAAAACCATCAACAAAATTCAAAGGTGCGAAATTCAAGGAAACTCTTTCAGACACCGTCAACGTATTTTCTCCACAAAAATAAAAACGCACAAATCTCCCAAAAACTTTGGCGCCTTTATAATTACAATTTTGCAACGAGATCAACCCCCACTTCCCCCCCAAAAAAGAGGGAAAATAATTCGCTCTCAAAAGCCCCCAAAAATTCCAGTACCTTCTCGGAGTCGTGGATCCTAGATCCCTCCGCAATAGAATCGATCTTCCGCTTCTTATTAATGGACGCAACATTATCGTCCCCTTCTGCATTAGAATCCGAATCGCACGAATTGAGAGACGACGAATTCACAGGAGATTTC